TGAAGGATGCAAGACTGTATGTCGAGACTTGTCAGGTTTGTCAAAGAGACAAACCCAGGACTCAAGCTCCGCTTGGGCTGATCAAGCCCTTGCCGATCCCTGAAGGTCCAGGTCAGAGTGTCTCCATGGATTTTATGGACACTCTTGTGACCACCAAAACCGGCAAACGACACATATTCGTCATAGTAGATCGCTTTACTAAGTATGCCAAACTTATCGCTATGCCGGAGACATCAAAGACAAATCACGTCATCAAACTGTTTATGGATAACTGGGTAAGGGATTTCGGTCTACCTACGTCTATCGTAAGCGACAGGGATGTAAGATTTACCAGCGAACTGTGGCAGTCTACAGCTGAACAGATGGGAACCAAACTCCAGATGACATCAGGGAATCATCCTGAGTCAAATGGACAGGCAGAACAGATGAACCGAGTGGTACAGCATTTGCTGCGGCACTACATCAAGCCAAGTCAGGATGACTGGGACGATAAGTTACCTCTCGTCGCCAGCCTGTATAATAATGCAGTGCACAGTGCTACCGGAATGACTCCCAACCAACTGCATCTTGGTTGGAAGCCTAGAACTGCCTTGGACTTCTTACTATCGGAAAGAGAATCCACTGCAGCACCTGGCAGCATAGAGTTTGCTGTTAAGTATGAACAGATGCTGCAGCAAGCCGTGGAGCACATTAGAAAAACTCAAGATGCAATGATAGCATATGAGAATAAGCATAGACGGCCTTCTAATTTCCAGGTAGGTGACAGAGTTTGGGTAAAAGCATCTGAACTTGGTCAGGAGCTAGGAATCTCTAGAAAATTGATGTCACAATTCTTCGGTCCGTGGGAGGTCCTAGATGTGATAGGAGATCAACCGGATGGGCTATCCTATGTGATTCGCATCCCACCCCATCTACGCACCTACCCTGTATTCCATGCTTCAAAGTTGGCACCTTTCGCTGCTACTGAGCAGTTTCCTTCCAGGAGATCAATGCTGCCCCCAACCATGGATGGCGAAGTGGACATCGACCAGATTGTCGAGCATCGAGTGATGCCTGTTCCACGACCATCAGGCAGAGGGCGCCCTCCTAAACCGAGAATGCAGTACCGGGTGAGCTTAAGACATCACCTCGATCCCAAGGAAGATCGCTGGTTTACACGGGAAGAACTCATGAGAACAGCGCCTCAAGTGATTGCAGGCTATGAAAGAGAACGAAAAGGGAAGATGCCTGCAGAATAAGAGACTTCTCAGAGGACTCACGAAGTTAAGGAGGAGGGAAGGCGAGGATCAGTGTCCTCGGTAGGCCTACTGGGCCCTGTCTGCAGCCTTACCCGCCCTAAGTGAAGGCGGGCCTGGCTTTTTGCAAGAGGCCCTCGACTGTCAATTTCATATTTGGGGTCCAGGCAGTTGCGACGCGCCAGTTGGTTGAAAGAAACACAGGCCGAGTACCGAAGACATTTCCACGGCCTACCGGGCCTTTCCAAAGAATGCAGGCCCTGGGCGTGATTCGCAGCCTCATACAGAGACAGTTGGGCACCCAACCGAACGAGGCCCAGCAGCCCAGTAGCTGCTGCATCCAGACAGCATCCTGGGGCCTTCCGGAAGCTGCTGGGCCCAGGCCAGCCCAGCCAGGCTGCGAGAGCTGGCCAGCTCTTTTCCATAAAGGAAAGAGCTCTGGCCAGGCAGCCTCATTCAGGCACTCGCATGCTGGGCCGGAGCTTATGCTCGTAGGCTGCTGCTAGCGCTGGGAGGCGAGGTGCATCACGTGCGGTCGTGCAGAGGAGGAGGGCGCTGCTGAGGGCAGCGCCATAGCCCAGCCACCATAGCTGGGGGGCTTGGACTACAGTGAGGTGCAGGGGTGGTCTTCGGGTGACAGAGAGGACAGGTGTGGGTGAAGTCAGGGGATAGGTGAAGGATGATGATGATGATGATGATGATGTGAGGGCACGTACCTTGTATTGGTGATGGTCTGCATGGGCGGCATCTTCAAGTACTTCGGACTGCTGCTGATGTCAACAGTTGCATTGTCTTTTTGTAGTCTGTAGTAGCTGTGTAGGAGTAGGCTGGGCACTGAGCGCCAAGTGAGAGGGTTGAGGATGCTCTCCATGTACATTGGTTTTTCAGTGCTATGAACCTCCATTGGTGTAATATTGGTGCAATGCTGCTCTATGGACACGGTGTGACTATTTGGCTCTCAATGTGATGGTGTGGTCTGGATTGTCATCTCGCTGTTGCTTATTTTCCTTGCAAAAATTACTAATATAATAATAAATGAAAACTGCAATGTTTGTGGAGTTTGCCATCTTGCCCATTTCTCAATTTGTTTTGTGTCAGGAGGGGCCATGTTGATCTTCTCTTTTCGGTATCATTTCAATTTAAGCAGCTGTGGTGTCGGCAAACAAGGACACCATTTATTTGCTCTCAATTCACTGCAAAACTTCACATTTCAGTTTTTTCCTGAACTGTTTTCTGAGTTGTTTTTTATCGTTTAACTTATATAAGTTTATGTCATTGCATGATTCCTGCACACCCATAAGAAAAAAAATATGTTTGTGCTCCCCTTCTCTCATTTCCCTCCCTTTCCACTCTGCCGTGCCATAGCATCTTGGAGAATCAGAAGAAGACACCTCGGGGAGGTGGTTGGCACCCACTCGACCGGGGAGTTTGTGGTGGTTGAACCATTGGCCACTTGTCTTGTCTGCAGACTCTGCAGCACTTCAAAGCGCAAAGCTTGTGTGAGCACTTTCAAAGTTCGAAGCGCAAAGGGCGAAGCACAGTGCTTGCCGTTGTGACGAGTGGACACTCTTCTAAGTCTGCTTTCATTGCCTGCACCCAAACCTATATCTGACCTATCTGTCTGTCGTCGCCACTTAACATTAATTAGGCCTGCTTATCCGCCGGAATCTCTACGTCTCTTAGTGCTTTGTTTGAGGGTGTGAACATGTTTGTTCTGCGCTCTTCTGAGTTTCTTCTTCCTCATATTGCACTTGTCCCTCCACCTCCTCTGCACGTGCCCCCCCCCCCCCTCCTCCCCACCTTGCTCTCTCCTTTCCTTCCTCGGTCGTGTGAACCGAGTGCGTGGAGTCTCGCATCTAGTGTGGGTGGTTGATATTCTGTTTTGATTCTGTGTCAATGCACCTCATGACTTCTTCAAGCATCCGTAGCGGAATCTACATACTGTTGATGTTTCATCCTTCATCACCGCCCTCCTTCTCTTCCTCCTTCAGTACACTGGCCGCTGTAGGAGACCCCACTTGCCAACTTCCTCCTTCGGTACACTGGCCGCCGTAGGAGCCCCCACTTGCCCGCCCTCGGTTTCTGCTGGGCCCAGCAGGGGGCGTTAGTAGGGCACCACTCTTTACTTTTTAATGCATAGACAAAATGACAAAGGAAAAAGGAAAAACGGGAAAAAAAGCACTTCCTGCAGATTGCAAGAGTATCAGCCGCTTTTTTTTTTCCTCACAGGAAGTGTCTTTTTTTTCCCTTTTTACTTTGTCAAGCTGGTTATCATGGCAATCATTCACAAAAGCTCAGTTCAACAAGTGTGAAACGAAGGTCGAAATAACTGCATATTTGGTAATAAACTCACATGAAACTTGGTGATGAAAGGCAAACAATAATAGCAGTGTTACACAGTTGTCACACAGTTGTCACACAGTTGTCACACAGTTGTCACACTGTTGTCACACAGTTGTCACACAGTTGTCACACAGTTGTCCCGACGCATTTCAACTAGTATGTGCCAACATAGCCTCATCAGGGGGGCTTCCAACTTTCAATCCGAAGCCAAACATTCTCCACCGCTCATCTGATGGGATAGCAGTGCACACTAATGTGCTCATCTCCTTCGAGACACCATGATGAGGCCGACATATTCTCTTTTTTTTTGTTTTGTTTTAGAAAAACAGGACCTTATAGACCTGGCTCCATATCCATTCTGCTGGGGAGCGTCAGTCCGGTTCCTATTCCACCGGCGTGTCAGATATACAACAACAAGAACAGACAGCCTCACGCTTCCTCCTTTGGTATGGCCGAAGGACCCCGGAGCAGCATTGATTACTCCAGAATCCAGATGTCTGGAGGATCGACTGTCAGCTTGCCTTACCTTTACCTCTCCTCTCAGGTTTTTTTTTTTTTTTTTCCTTTTTTTTTTTTTTTCTCAGGTTGTCATCCCAAAAATTTAACATGAAGGCAAGAAAGGACAAAGGGATGTCGAAGCCAGAAGCCCCTGTACTTGTCTGGGTAGTTCAGCTGGAACTGTAATGTTGCAGAAAAAAAGTTGCTGTATCTTTGACGATCTCCTCGTCTCTGTCATAAGGTCGAAGTTAGGTGGCCTGTATTGGGTCCTGTAGATCCACTGAATAGGACCTCTGCCTCCTCGAACCGCACTTCCGAGTTGTGCCAGTCTTTCCACCGTAGGCAGGAGCCATTAATGTCCGCTACCTTGCCTCCCACCAGCCATACCCTTGCAAAATTAGCTTTGTCTGATAGGTTGGAACAAGTAGAGGGAGGGGGAGAGAGAGAGAGAGAGAGAGAGAGAGAGAGAGAGAGAGAGAGAGAGAGAGAGAGAGAGAGAGAGAGAGAGAGAGAGAGAGATTGGGAGGATGCTGGCTGAATCTTTTGTGAAATATGTTGGAACTAGTAGGAGATACTCTGGTGATGGCCGTCTCGGCCAAAAACATGGGATTTTGCATGCCTACCACCTCCCTCTGTCATTTCGTTTTAAAAGACGAAAATAAGAAGAAGGGTTAAAAAAATCACCTTGTCTTGCTGAGTTCTGCACTGGAGACAATGTCATGAAAAGGAAAGTGTAGGCGATTTTCGCAAGAAGCGAAGTGAAGGCAAATTCACAAATAGGTTTGAGATAGCAGCATGGTTGCTGTATGCATTTCTTGCAGGCAGATTGATGGACTATTTTTGACCAACGGGTTTTGACATGTTCGTCAACTTCGTCTTTTTTTCATTACGTGGTTCTTCGCTTTTTGCGTATGCGCTGTGCAGGTGTGGGTGGAGTGTGATCTTCTAGTGAATCCCTTATCTGTGTCTCTAATCGACCGGTCTTGTATGTGGAGGTACAATCCTAGCTGACATTAGAAGAGAGGGACTCTCTCTGCTCTAGTGAAGCTACGATCATTCAATTTGGTGGCGATTCAGGTCCGCAGCAGCTGAAGCAGCAGCTAAGGTGGCTATCATGTGAGGAGGAGGAAAGAAGACAAAAGTGCCGCACGTGTTGCCCGGCAAGTACATGTTTTTTTTCTGTCGATGTCATGTACATATAGTGTCTGGACTCCGGAGTGCATTTTCTGGCTGGGACAGACCTTCCATAGTCTTGTGGAGGTTTATGTTGGCTTACGATGGGGTAAGTTCGCGGAGGTTTATGTTGGCTTACGATGGGGTGTGAACCTACAGTCTGTAGAGTCGTCCGTCTGGTGTGGGTGAGTCATACTCCTCTTCGATTTTCACCACAGAATCGTCGGTACCCTTGAGAGTGGCGTTTGGTGCCCACCTCAGAGCTATCGGTTGCGGGGCAGTAGTTGATGCCGAACCGCAAGCGGGGTTGAGGGGGATTCTCACTTACGGTATCGTCGGTTAGGGGACTCAGTAGACTTTAGAAGTTTAGAGGGTTCAGCCTCCTGATGGGTCGGTGAAACTCCAATGAAACAGTTCGGTACAGCCCCCCATTTATTGTCCTTTTTCTAGTAGGCTCCTGATGGGTCGGTGAAACTCCAATGAAAAAGGAGAAGAAATGGGGGGCTGTACCGATTCACCGGGCAGTTGTCCGTGACTATGGGGCTCTCCACGCAGCCTTTCGAGTCGAATGAAGGCATTTTCCGAAAAATGTCAGACTTCATTCGAAAGGCTGCTCGTCGAAAGAACAC